TTTCTGCTAGGTGAATAGGCACAAAACACATCTTTGTTCACAAGGCTTTTTATTGCGGCAGTTGTCATGAGCAAAACCTGAAAGTACTTGAAAATCCATTAAAATCACCATCAGTATTAAAAAAATACCATCTCTTGAAAGTTTGTCTCTGCAGACTGTAGAAGCGAAAAGTCGATAAGTATGAGACACATTTATGCAATTTAAGATTAATGATTAACTGTTAAAGTGCAGGCTTTGTACAATGAGCAAGGAAACAAAACCCTTCAATCTCTGCAGCTGCTGGATGAAGCCAACTTCTAAGTTACTGTGTGTGATAAGATGTGCTGAATCCCAGCCCAGTTGGTCATTGACCCGCCCTGAATCAGCGACTACTGTCTCCAGGGTGTTTTGGTTACAGTTCTCTCTTTCCCAAAGTGTAATTGTCAGATGGATTTATGTCTGTTTGTGACTGGTTTTCCTCTGGTTCTGTACAAGTACCGGTGCACGATTTTGGGCATTTCTTAGACTTAAAATTTCTTGTCTCCCAAATGATGTATTTCACAAAGAGAGAATGGACTGGCTTTGAAGATTCATAATAATACTTGGATTTACTTATACCAGTTCTAGAAGTAAGAGCTTTAATTATTTTTTTATTCAGCAGAATTATCGAATTCAGCCAAATTTTTTTCATACATCCAGGCCATGAACAAGTGCTCAAGTTCCCAAGTTAAAACAGCAACTTGCCAACTTTAAAACATTTGGCTGGTCAGCAGGAAAGAAAAAGCTGCTTGTAAAGTACTGGAATGCATTTTCAATTAGTCACTCCATTGCTTAAAAGGCGAGGCATTAGGGACTGGGAGGAGAGGCAGGGGGATGGCAAGGCTGATGGGGAGGGACAGCATGAGACAGTCTGGAGAAGAGCCTTTATCAGCCCCCAACAGCAGCCCTGAAGTTGGAGGCCACTCTTTAATAGTTGAGCTTTTGTTTAACAACAGGCTCCCCCGGGAGAATGAGGTTTTCCTGGTAAAAGACCAAGATTTCTTTCAAATAACTTAATATTGCTTTGTATGAAAGAGCAATGGAAAATATGGCTTGGGAAGATGCTAGAAGGTTATTTCTCTACTACTGCCTGATAACCAGGCTGCTGGGCACCCTGGCTAAAAGGTTGTGCTTTGGCAGACCTTCCTTGGCTCCTAAAATATTTTGAATGAGATAACACCCTTGAAAGAAGATGAAATAATGAACCCAAACCGCTTACTATACTTGGTTTATTATCCTGCCCAAGACTATCAAGTTCTCAGTCCAATAGTTTTCTGGTAAAGAAATACCTGGAGGGGGGAAAAAAAAATCTCGTGACATAAAATCACCTTTCTAATCCTCAGTAGCCATCATTCCTCATGCTTTTTTAAATACTTTGTCCTGTACTTGACCTTCAGATGTTTGTAGCTAGCTGATCTGGGACTTTTTTGACTCCACAGCTGTCTAAACTAAGGATGATGACATTGCTTAGAGATCCTTTTGTGTATGTGTGTATACAGTAATGTTGTTTTCAAAAGTACATATATATATATTTACTTTAACATGACTCAAAAATCTTGGAAAGCTTGTACTTCTTTATCATATTAACCGAGAACTGATAAGCTCTCACTGGGGGGACATGTTATGGCACGAAAGACCCAAATTATACAATAGGCTGGATTTCAGCAGGTAGAGGAACTTTCAAGACACTTGCCTTCTGGCTAACTGTAATAAATTTGCTTAAGTAATATTTCACAGATGTGCTGGCGGTTTCTTGGCAAACAAGTTGAAGATCATAGGAAATTTCTTTACTTAAAGCATAAAAATAAAAGTTTTGCAGGCCAAGTCCTTAACCCCAACAGAAGAAAACATTTAGCTAAAAGCTGGGATGAAGTCCACTATCTAAGCACAAGAGTTAAAATAATTTTACAGAGGGTTTCTGTCTTTTTTCTGTTTTATTTGTTTTCTCCTACTATAGCTACACGCTGTATGAAATGCGTGAGGCTGTTTTGGAAAATCCGTTGCCTGTCGCAAGTTTCTCTGTACTAAACTTGATCTCCTGGTTTTATTTTTAGAAAGCTTATAGTGGCTTTCTTCAGTGTTGTAGGAAAAGCTGGCAAAAGGCCAGCCAGGTCCAGCAAAAAGGACACATGGCTTTCGCTCCAGACATGAAAAGTTTAAGATGAAAATAATTAAAATAACCATAATAATTGGAAATGGGAAAGGCACAAGTATATTTGTTCCTACAGTATAGTTTTCACAAGGATATGTTGGAGGAAATAATAGAGTGCTTTCTGTGGGAAGATAGTGAAAAATATGGGAAAATATAAATGTAGTTGTTAGAGATAAAATTCTGGAAATAGATATAGTTTGTGGAATTTTTTTGATGAACAGATTAAGAAACACTGAGGATCTTGATGCACCAGAGTTCAGGGCAGGTCTAGCAGTGATCTGAAAGGGAGGACAGGGCTGATATGTTTCTCTTGGCCTTGGTTTTTCCATATTTTTCCACTCCATCTTGAGTGTCTTGTCCTTGAGGTCTAGGGATACAGGAACTTCTGACCTTAATGTAAAGGTCTCTTACCCTTGTAGCTCTCAGACTCCTGACCCACACAGAAATTGAAAAAACTTAGGTCCCCAAGTGGGGTATAAAGACAAAACATCTGCCCCTTTCTTGCTTTGACCTCTAACACTGTATAGATAGGATGTGAAAAGGACTCAAACTGAGCTCGCCAACAGGACAGGATAGGACAGGATATTTTGAAAGTTCTGTTCTTTGCAGGTTAAGCTTGAAGCCTTTCTTAATTTCAGCCTCCTCATCAATATGATATATTCTATGAGAAGTTTACATGGGAAAATAGGTGACTCTAGCTCTAAAACCAACAAATGTGGCAGTGAGGTGGAGAGGAAAGAGAAAAGGCACTGTGCTGTAACCACTGATGTCCTGCCCAGCCTCAAATGAGGGATTAACTTGTGTAAGGGTGGTTTACAAACTTTTGGGAGGAAACAGAGACACTGACCAATCTCTTTCTATTTGCTTTCCATCAGCTCAGCTCCACAAAGAAACAACTGAATTTAATTTTCCATTACAAGCATCTAACCCATCAGCTGTAGGTAAATAAACGTAGGGCCCAAAGTTTCCAGAGTTGGATACAACCCTATCTCTGCAGAAGTGCTTAGAGATATGTGTGTATCAGGTGAGAAACACCCTGTGCCACAGTGGTATTGGGAAGGAGGTGGAACATCTGCAACCTCCAGCTGTCCTCCACCCTCCTTCCCAATATCTGCACCTGCAATCTCACCGACCCATGTCCCTGATGTGTTTATCCTTGTTACGCCCCTCGGAGATAAAGCAAAACTGTTGGAAGCGTTGCCTAGGGGAGGATGTAAAATTCCAAGGTCTGAACTTGAGACCTGACTTGATAAACTGATCGACTGATACGGCCCCACATGCTGAGCCAGGAGCTTCACCTGGCTGTGGGGGGGGAAACAGGCAGGAGATGACTCAGTGTTTCTCCTAAATGAGGGGTCAATGAAGCTCTGGCCTTTGAACAAAGAAAGCATTTTGTATCCAGGTAGTTTAAAACTGGTTGTTTCTGTTTGACCACTATCTCGAGGCTGCTGTCTGGCAGACTAAATGGTCACGTTATCTTTTTTGGGCAGTGGGAAGCGTCAGTGTCACCTTCTGGCAAGGGCAAGACTGTGCTGCCTTTGTACAACCAGCAAAGGAGGGGTTCAGGCTGCCCAAACCCAGCCTACAGCATACCAGGGAGCCCTGAAACAGTTCAGACACAGCTCGAGTTTTAACTCACCGAAGGAGGAGGCAGTGGAAGACTTAAAATAGCCTTAAAAGTTTATTATGTCTTATAATACCCTTTATTATGTTTTCATGAGTGTGTCACTCACTGCCAAATCTCCCAAATCTCTATGTGACCATCATGTTACTGCTTCTTTGCAACTTACAAGGGCTGATCTTAATTTTTTTTTTTTTTTTGGAGAACTGGTGGCAGAGGGAAACTAGGAGCATATGCTTGTGATATAAATAGCAAAGTGGAAGTTTCTGCCATTTGGGGTAGTTTGGTTCTGACTGAACACTTCATGAGGTACAGTTTTGCTTTTTTCCCCAAGAAGAATTTTAATTTGGGAATTTCCAGGAATCCTAATGAATCCGTGGAGCTCAAGGAGAGGGTACAGTCACTCACAGGATGGATGGAAAACATTTAGAGGGGGAAAAATGCAAAAGAGAAGTCTTTAAATACAAGGAAATCAATGTCAAAATGTTACAGAAACACAAAAGAAGACAATCATCTAGATGTTCCTAAGTAAACACACACTAACAGCAGCTACACAACTTTTCACATCACCATAGTAATCTGGAGGATGCTTTACCATTTATATTTTAAGTAGCAACAAAAAAGAAATGCATTTAATGGAACTATATAGACACTTTTTCCCCTTTCAAACAGCCAAAGGGTTACATCTGGCTTTGAATTATTAGACCTTTTATTATTCCACCATAATACTAGTCTTGCTTTAAATCAGACTATTTTCAGGCACAGCTTCAGTGTATAAGTTCTTTAAATTCTAAGATATTTAAAAAATAAAGAAGGGGGAGAAAGATTCTTCTGTATACAAAAGGTTGTGAACTATTTTTAATGTGTCTATCTCTCTATATGGGGGTGAGGGATAGGGGGAGGAGGGAAGGGTGGGAAAGGAGTTGTACTAGTTGTACTCCTTTAAAAGCGTCAAACTCCAACCTGCACAGAACAGGGAAAGGGAGACCCCCCCCCCAACAACCTTCAGAAAATAATATAAAAGCAAACCTCAGAGGTGGAAGAAAATACCCAAAAGGAGAAGACTGCAGCTTGCAGTAATCTGTAAATGATTGCTGGCAAAGGCTGGAGGCTTCGAGCTTGAGCTGTGTTTGTTCCAAAAGAAAGCCAAGAAGGACGGTGTTAATAAAGAGAGATTTAACTGAGGGCTGTGCTTGGAATAAAGTGGACTACAAAAAGGTCAAATTTGATCAGTTGGAGCAGATTACAAGGGCTTTAAAAGGTAGTGGTGAAGAAATGAAACTGGGACTGTGAAGCAATATAGCACAAGATTGATTTTGGGGGTGGAGAGAAGCTGGGACAAGTGCTTATCAGCTTGAGAAGGAGGAAGAGCTGTGCCGGGTTTGTTGTCATTCCCACACTGAGTAGAGTACTTGCTGCTTTTGTGGTTAGCCTTCCCTGCCGTGGTTGTTCTTCCTTTTTTTATTTTAACTTATATATATTTTATTGTTATTATTACTACAATGGTGTCTATAATCTCTGACTTGGATCCTCTGAAAAGCTGGAAAGTTTTAAGGTAGGCCTATGTTTTCTTCTGTTTGGTACAGACATTTTGGGTTTAGACCTAAATTAACTGGAGCTTGAGTTATAATCGAAATGTGAGCCCTGGGCTTAAGTAAGAAAGGAGTTTCTAGTAATTAGAGCCCTTTTAAGATACAGCAAAACCTTTGAGCAGATGTTTAGAGAGACTCGAGAGAGATTTTTTAAATATACTTCTCAGTCTTACAGCGCAGTGAGGATTTTTTTTATTATTATTATTTCTTCTTTAAGGAAAGATTGCTCCATAAATTCAACTTAATAGTAAAGGCTCACACCAGTTGCAACTGCAGCATTAACTCTCCGCTTCCCTCACTGTACTCTGCATGGGAATGGGTGGGAAACACCAGAGGAGCGAAAAAAACAACATGAAAGTTGACCGAGAAGTGGAAAATAGTCTTGGGGGAAGGAAGGGGGACTAAAGTCCTTGTTTCATGTTGTTGTTGAAACTTCCACACTTTGTTGTCTCTCCTAAGGCATGTGTTTGGCACTTAAAAGTTGCTACTTTTTTACCTTTTTATTTTTTTACCTTCAGTGCTGCTTTTTTTTTTTTTAAATTTGCATAGTGAAAAATGGTAACTTGAACTGCTAAAAAGGATAAGGGGTGGGGAGGGAATCCCCGTTAATGCCTGCTGCAGATATCAAAGATCCACAGTGTTAAATATCCGTACTTAATCCTGCTGTAAATGCCCGGTGTTGCTTTATTGAGAATCCGGACATATAAAACTTTGCAGATGGTTTGCAGAAACTTCACTAAGACATTGGAAACGTGGGAATGTAGATGGCAAAATTATAAAATTAGTTAAATTTAAAGTTTCATAGATTTCCCTCAGCTTTTATGTAAAGCATGAAGCTGCACCTAATAATCTTTTTTAAAATGAGTAAACTGCAGGGGTTGGGGGGTATGAATTGTGATATTACTATTATATGTATGCAATAATAATATTTTAAAGTATACTTTAGCTTCTTGATACAATGTTTTAAAGATCTTACTGTGTTCTGAACTGACAGGGGAAAAACAACCCTTCAAAGTCAAAATATAAACTCTACTTACACGACTAAGGCTTTTTTTCCCTCACTGAACTTTCTATTTTAGACGTCTAAAATTCTCTGACCGTTTTCTGAGCCTCTCTGTAGGAATGTGGACTGGGATCCTCTCTCCTTGTCTGTGGTATGAGACTTGGCACGGCGGGCTTATTGCAAGTTTATTTTATTTTATTTTTCAAGTCATTTAGGGCTGTCGGCACAGAATGACGAGTTTCTATCTGACTTCCAAAAGTTCAGCGAGGACGTCGGCTCAAATGTAGCGCTGTGCAGGATGGTGGAGCGCGGGGCTGTGATTGGCATCCGGGCTGGGTGATCACCCCGCATCGGCCCGGAGCCGGGGTGACTTTTGTGAGTCACCACCGACGAATGTCAGTGAAGTGTTTTTGCAGAGCTCCATATGTGTTGTTTTACGGCGTGTGTGCTCCAGAAAAGCTATTCTAGGAATTGTTTTAAGTTTATCTAGCTCTATGAGACTATTTCTGATTGCTCTGCTAGACAAGTCAGGTGACGCCAAGTTTGTGCTGAGTTCAGGGGTGACACAGAGGACTTGAAAGTCATGAAGATTTAAGGAGGAGACAATGTTGCCCTCTCTAAGAATCCTGTTTACTTAGAAAAATTATGTGTTTACACGATTGTAGAAGAAATATCTCCCTGGCACTTTTCCCCTACAACATGCCTGAAGTTTCCCAACTTCGTGTGTGAATCTGGAGATTGCAACTGTATGGAGACAAAGTCAGTCAAAGATGTGATTATATCTGGATATTTCTGTGTGTGATCACAGCAGCAGCTCTGCCTAGATGTGACAATGTGCAGCTCAACTACAGGATGTAGACGGTTAAGAGGTGGGAAAAGGCAATATGTAATACAAGTGGAATGATTACTGACAGAACAAAAAAAAAAGAGCTAGAAGTCAACATGCAGCTCAAATGGCTTGTGACTTATTACACTGCAATGCCACTTTTACCTTTTCTTATATATTTTAGTTCTTTTTCTGCAGGCTAATTTTCAACATTTGATGCCTCTGAGGTTCCTGGTTTTAGTGTCTCCCCTCCATGAACCTAAGGAGCCTGTAGCTAATATTTATAAGAAATAGAGGAATGTTTCTATGTGTTTCTTTTAGGTGCACAAAACAATTCTTTCAGACTCAAATGAGTTGCTGTAGCAAATGCCACGATCAGCCACAGAGTACAGCAGCAAATTCTCAATTTCGTTTTCCTTCTGCACCCCCTGTAATTTTTTCTGGGACTCGTTCAGTTTGAGACCTGCTTAGCTGGAAAAAGACTGAACGATGCAGATCCTGTGGAGGCAGCAGGTGGGAATACTTACACTGGGACTTAATAACTCCCAGGAGGAAAGAGCAGCTATGGGCTGCCTTAGTGCTGGTTACCCCCATCTCAGCTGAGCTCTGGCTCCTCTGCCCTGCTCCCCAAATCCACTGGAAGCTCATCCTCTGACCTCTGAATGAAGGTAATAATGAAGATAAAGGTGCAACATAACAACAGGCAAGGCTGTGGTTGGCGGTGAAGCCTAAAAGGAGGGAGAGAGGTGGTGTTGGAGGATGGCAGGGGTTTTGTTGGACTTCACCCAGCTGAGCTGGGAGAGCCAGCAGAGGTATTTAAACCAATAAATGGCAATATGATGTGTGTATATATAGTATTACATCAGGCCTCCCTCTTTTGTTGGGTCTGTCTGAGGTAGGACAGTGAGAGCTGCAATAATTTCTGGCAAGTCTCAACACCCTCTGGGTTCATGTTACAGTAAGAGGGGGAACACAAGTGCTCCAACACTTTTTAATGTGCATTTCTGGATTTCTTGATAGCGACCTGAATATCAGAGTTACTGGAAAGAGAGTCCATGGATTTTTTTTTTCCTCCTGTTTTCTCTTTTGGGATAAGCTCCCAGCACAAAATCCATGCTGTGACATTAAAATACCAGTGCCTGATCTCCCTTATAGATGCCTTCTCACTTTTGATAGTGTGATTACAATAAGTGCCATGTCTTGTTGTATTCCTTGGAGCCAGGAGAGATTGGCAAAACTTCAGACCTTTTTAAAATCCTTCAGAGCCTTACCAGCAAAGGGTGTGTGCTCATCCAGCCCTCCCCAGACACAGAAATCCCCTTTACCCATCCCCAAAATGAGATGGGAGTTAAGCCCCCTCAGTGCACAAGAGAGACCAAGATCAGCTGCTGTGACTTCAGAAAAGTCTCTAATCCCTGTTCAGAACTTCCTCTATGCTTCCAGGGTGTGGTTTTGTTCCTCTTATGTGACAGGGACAACTGTTTCTGAAGAGACATGTACTCTGGGCCCCTACAACAGCAAAAGCAGAGCAGTAGCCTGGCAAGGGGAGACATAAAAAGGAGGAGGAAAAAAAAAGTAATCCCTCAAGGCATGTCTCCTCTGTTGCTTTTCTCCCTTAATTTTTCTCCAGCAAGGCTAAATTCAGTACTATAAACCACATGAGTTACCTGTACACGTGAAGACCTTGTACCTTTGCATTCCTGTCTGAAGAAATATGTGACCTTTCTATGGCATATTACTAGGGAAAAAAAAATTTAAAGTTGGTTTTAACTTGACTTCACAACCTCAAGGTGAAATCCAAGCACAGAGTAGGAGTTTTCACTCAGATGAGTGGTCAGGTTACAGTCTGGGAAGCAGCAAGTCTTGCTGTGCTGCTCTGCATGCAGATCATCCTAATTTCACAAGTCCTATTCAACTGGCCCATCCAACTTGGCTGCTGGAGTTGGGAACATCTTGTTTGCAACACGTCATGTGTCAGGCGGATGTACCAATTCAAATGTTCTCTCCAAAATGTCTTTTTCCACCACAAACACCATCCAAACAGCCTGTTAATGGCTTGGCTTTTCAGGAAAAAAGTGGTTTTTTCGTGCTTGGCAAGTCAGTCCCGGCCAGGAAGAGCAATTTCAGCCTTGTTGATGTTTGTATTATGAGCTATTTTGGGCAAATAGTCCCATCCCCACACCCCGTTCCTGTGATTGCCTCTGAATTGAGGTGCTAAATAGCTTCGAAGTGTTCAAATTGGGGAAGGGGGAGGAAAGTAGACATAACAGCTCCAATTTGGTTGTGGGCAAAGAAAAAAAAATCGATATTTTTATAGTGATACCAACCTTGTTTCTGTTTTGGCTTTTGCTTTTTCATCTTAGCAAAGCATGAGAGAAGCCATCCTGTGTTGTATTCAGTATCTGAACATATCAGTTAATGCATGGATCCCCAGCACAAAACTGCTCAGAGAAAGGAGCAAAAAAAAGAAAACATTTCACGAGTGCTTTACTCTGAGGACCTGGACAATGCTGTCTCCATCCAGTACTCAAAAAACAAAAGAAAACAAACCCTGAAAGTTTGGCCCAGGGACATAATTCTGGACTCCATCGCCACCATGAAATACAGATAAAGGAATTTCGGATGTCAGTGGAGAATACAAATTCTCTCATAATTGCCACAATATGTTCACTTAAAAAAAAAAAAAGGCATGAAAAGAGGGTGTGTGTAACTTGTAATAACTAAAAACACATTTGAGAAATGGTTTTCCAGTTCACCACTCTACAAATACAGATGGTGTCAGAGGTGGCATTGAAGGGGGTGTTAGTGAGGGTCACACACGTCCAGGTCGTGACACAGATGAGAATCACCAGGGCATGGTGGCTGTTGCCAAGTTCTGATAAGATAAATATGAGCAGCAAAACATAGTGTGGATTCCTCTCCTTTCGGTTTGAATGTGTAACTCTACAGTCACTCATGTGAATCATACTGGGATGAAAAATTAGGGCCAGCTATTTTGAAGCATGAATTTTTAATCCTTTTTTCATGTTTTGTATCTGTGCTTCTTCTGCACTTTGTAGAGGACAATATGGGCAGTTTTTCTTGTTTTTTTTTTTAACACCATTAGAAAGGCAGAATATATGGGATGATTGAAA